ATGGATATATGAAGTTTGTACAAATAAGCAAACTTGCAGTAGACAATAAGGAGAGTGGGGTTAATCACTGTAGAAAAATGAGTCACACCTGAGTGATAGGGGATGGCAAAAATGGTCGTCAGGGGGCTGGACTGGAATCAGAAGTACCAGCATCAATTTGTCATTTTGATAGGTAGATAGACACAGAGCTATAGGTGTGTGTGTTAGTATGAATAGAGATATTTCCTAGTCTGTCCACTGGGAGAGACTACACGTAGTGAACCCTTGGGAGCAATGAGCACCTAGATCTTGGTTTCTAAGCACCATTCTCCACTAAAAAGAAGCCAGGGTTCCTTAGAGAAAGAATTGATTCCACAGGTGAGGCAGGAAAAATGTCAGCTAAACCTGGATTGTTGCATAATGCCATAAAGTAAGGACATACTTTATAAGGGATGGCGGTATTTTGAAAGAATACAATTAACCTGAAGGAGCTCCCGATGGTCAAAGTTGGGACAACTTAGGTGACAAAATCAATAGTGATAGTATTGTTTTATAATCCATGTAATAAAATAAACATCTATGACTCCATCCTTACATAATTATAAATGAATGAGGAAGCAAGAAGGGCAGTTCATGGAAATCATAAGTAAACACCATGGTCATAACTTGGTAGGTGGAATTCACTGAAGGCTGTTAAAATTAGTAGGAACAAAGTTGAGGTGATGTAGAGAAATAGGCCATTTGTATAATCTCAAATGATCATTTCTAAAATACTTCTTTATTCCCAAGGAAAAGTATCAATTTTTCAGGGGAGAAACTCAGCAGATAGCATTTTTTTTATAACAATTTATTTTTATATTATTTTGTACATTTTTTTCCCATCTCAATTGTAATCCCCGCGGGTTTCCCATCACCATGTCACCCGTGTGCCATCACCAAAATCCCGTGCACTTCCCTCCCCACCCCCCCGTTTTTGATCCCATTCCCTACTCCACCCCCACAAAATGTCTCTGGTGTATGGTTGTTCATTATTTTTGTTATTTTCTCGCCTGGTCCATTATACTCCTGCTATGAGTGAAACCATCCAGTATTTTTCTTTCTCTTTCTGGCTTATCTCATTAAGCATGATCTTTTCCAGCTCCATCCAAGTTGCTGCAAAAGACATGTGTTTCTCTTTTTTGGTTGCTGAGTAATATTCCATTGTGTATATGTACCACATCTTTTTTATCTAGTCATCTACTTTTGGGCATTTGGGCTGCTTCCATGTTTTTCCAATTGTAAATAAAGCAGCAATAAACCTAGGGGTGCAGGTATCTTTTTCAATCAGTGTTTTTGTGTCTTTTGGGTAGATACCTAGGAGTGGGATTCAGCAGACAGCATTTTAAGTGACCGAGGTAATCATTACCATTCATATGGCAAGCTAACATAATGTAGCTCTTGATAAGCACCACCAAGAATGACACATCACTCCTGTGGCATTCTTACCAAAATGCACAATCTTATTCTAATCATGAGGAAACATTAGACACACACACTGAAGGAGGTCCTACAGAATGACTATCAAAAATGTCATGAGGGACTTCCCTGTGGCCTATGGGTTAAGTCTCAGCACTACCACCATGATGGCCTGAGTGACCCACATGGCACTAGACCCCTCCTGTCTAGCCTGCTGCTCCCCTCTGCAGTGTATTTCAGTAGCTCTGCCTGTTCTGCTCCCCACTCGGTTGGTCTCTGGTGAATCCTCTTACCCCACCCCCATCTCTGGCCTAAATCCCAATTCTATGCCAAAGCAAAACAAAGAAAGTGTCATGGGCATGAATGAGGCGAGACTGAAACCATCGACAGATTAGAAGGGACTCAGGAGCCTTGGTGGCAGCATGAAGAGTGGGGTTCTGGGACAGTGAAAGCCATTTGTCAATAGCATTGTACCAATTTTGATTTTCTGTTTTGATAATTGCACCACATAGACCTCACCATGAGGGGTGGCTCTCTGAAGAATTTTGTAAGTTTTCCTTAGGTCAAAATTATTTCAAAATAAAAGCTACTGATGCCTACTGTCTTGCCTTATGAATAGTTAAGGGGAAATTCCTATTTTGGAGTTATTAACAGTAGCTATATTTTTTACATTTCTTAATCTAATTCTCACAGCCCCATGTGACATGAATGCTGAACTCTGTGTTTACACACAGGGAATCTGAAGTGGGGAGATGTTATAGAAGAGATGTTATAGATGGTACAGAGTTATAGAAAAGGACTAGAATTTGGGCTCTTTCCATGTTTCTACATGGAAAGAAAGAGGTGGCAATAGAAAACTAGAGTAGGGGATCCCAGGAGCTTATCCTAAGGGGCCTGGGGAACTTTAAAACGGATCACTGCCTGGGTTTTAACCCAGAAAAATCTGACTGAGCTGGGGCTTGGGCATTGTCTTTTTTTAAAACTTTGCCAGTCTTTCTATCTATAAGAACCGTGGAATTATTTCCCAGCATAAGGCCCTGACTACCATTTACCCCATGTCAGGGCCAGCAGTTAGCCTTGCTCCCTGAAAACCTGGCTTAGGGTAGCGGTCAGGGACAAGTATCCTGGGCCTCTTCCCTCTACCCTGCCCCCGTGACTCCAGCCTGGAGCTCCCATGTTTGTTTTCCTATGTTGGTGTAACAAGATGTTCAACCCTGAGATGAGTCTGACCAGCTTGTTCTTAAAAAGGCCCTGGTGCCAGACAACAGGAATTTAGACTGGAACATTCTGGCGCCGGATTCCTCTCATGGTCCTTGCTGGCTGCCTTTTTTTTGCTTCCCTGCTCCCGCTGGTCAGTTCTCCACATTTGCCCAGAAAGTCTGTTTAAAACAGAAAACTGCTCACATTACTTCCCTCCTCCAAAAGAACCAAGGGCTGATCATCTCACTTAGAATAAATCCGAGGACCGAGCCACATGGCGTGGCTCCCAGATGCCTGTATTCACCCCATCATCCCCCCAGCACATTCTGCCACAGCTGCCCCACCTGCCTGCTGATCCTCCAGCTGCCAAGCACTCAGCCTCTCAGGGCCCCTGCAGGACCGAGCCTCAGCCTGGAAATCTGTGTGCAGGGAGTATCTGGTGTGGTCCTTCTTGCACTGGGTCTCCTGCAATGACACCCCCTCCGAGAGGAATTTGGTGACTGCTCCCTTTCACCTTGTCACCCGCCATACATTAGCCTTCCTTTATGGCACTTCTCATTACCGTGCATAAAATGTGTTTTTTGTTGAGGGTGTTTTCCCTTGCCATAGGTACATTTCAGGTAGTATCCTGTTCTGGCCCAGGATCTGGACCTGGCTCCTTGCTCCACTCAGCGACTTTTCTGAATTCTCTGTGTGTGTGTGTACACCTTGATGTGCATATGTGTGCCTGTGTGCACAGGGGCCTCTCCCAGGCCTGTGTGGGCATGAAGTAACCAGTCCTCCCTCTCTGTTGGGTCAGCCATGGCTCATGAGCCTCCATCTCCACAGCAGATGGGCAGCCACCAGATGCTAGCCTGCAGAGACAGCCCCTTGTCAGGGCAACCATAGGCCCACACAGCTCCTTAGTGGTCTTCAGGACCAGCCTTGGGCTTAGTAAGACTTCCTGGGGTACCTGGACTTATGGAGAGAAAGGAAGTAAAAGGCACCCTTGGAAAGCAAATGTCACCATTTTTGCTTTGTGGGATGAGAGATGTAATTGTGAGCCCTGAGTAGTAAAAGTAATGCAAGCTCATTTTATCCCTTAAGTTGTTGAAGTAGAATAATTTGGTGGCTATAAAAAGAGGTGGAAGAAGAGTAGGAAGACAGGCGTGTGGAGGAGAGAGGAGAGGAGACAGTATCCACAGGAGGAATGTGGGCTGGGGGAGAGGAGTTTGCTGTAGGCGACTCTGGAAGCAAGACTGGTGTTCTGTCAGTGGCAGCTGTGGCTTCACCTCTGACTGCCCCTCCTGCCCAGTGGTTGAAAGGCTCTGAGTTCCTGGTGTCTATAAAGAACCCCTCCCTCATCCTGCCCAGGCTTCCAAGTCACTCAGGCCTTCTGGGTCTTTACCAGCTTGGGAGTCACCTGGCTTCTGGCACCATCACCTTCTGTGCTGGGAGGGTGTGAGGGCTGAAGGAGCAGCCCCATTATGGGCTGGCCCACTGAGTGCCTGGAGCATGGCAGACCCCAGGGAAAACTGATTGTCCTATTTCTAGTTGGTCAGAAAAACCGTCTTCCATCTCACATAGACCCAAGCTCACTGATTTACCTCCTCTACTGGGTGACAGCAGGGAGATGGTCATTAGCAAACTTCAGTTGTCTGAAGTATGTGAAGAACTGCCTCAAACACACTGCAGCTAGGGGTCCTGTCCCTAAAGCCTTTTGATTTCATGAGGGTAAAACCAACCCCAGAAAAATGTTAGAATCAATGAGTTAACTGAAGAGTCCTTTCAAAATTATATGCAGCCTGATAACAGTTATTTAAATATATGCATAGAAAAGAGAGGGGTAGTAATATAGCCAAATATATTTGGGTAATTATGGATTGTTTTTCTGTAAAATCAATGTTTTGCCAGCTCGTGCAAATGAACAGAGTCATGTTAACAAACACAAGATTTTCTGGAAAAGCTGCCACAGCCAAAATCAGTGATGCTAAGGGGATGCAGGTGGTTAGGGGTGGAGGGTGATTACCACTAAGAGGTGGGAGAGCAGTCCTCTTTAAACCTGTCTGACATGTTTTTCTGGGGGCACCTCATCACCAGAAGGCTCAGAACCGGGCTCTTGGCACCTTTGTACCCCCACAACCCCTGAGGCCTTGGTGCAGGCACTAAATCTTAGACCAAGAAACTTCAAACACTTCCATCACATTAATGATATTTTATTTTTAACGAGAATAATGATAATTTAAAAATACATATATCACCTACATTTCAATTATTTTTTTCTCCAGAAACTTTAACTCCAAAAATGACTAGACCATCACAAAGGACTAGTGACTGGCTAGTGACCGGCAGAAAGCAAATGAGAGGAACTGACCTCCTGGTGATTTCTATTCTAGAATCAGGTACGAGTTGAGAGCTTTGCTCCGCAGATTCTTCATCTCCTCAAGCACCTTTTCTCCCACCTTCTCTTCCTGTTGTGCTTGGTCTTTCACCTCTCTAAAATTAAAAAGCCCAACAAGGGCACATCAGGCCAGGAATGACTTAGTGAAGGCTACAGAAGTTCACATACAGTCTAAATAGATTAAGCAATAATACTATTACCAAAGAAAACACTTTGCTGGTAAATGAATTAACATTGGCTTTACATTTCAGCTGTCCTAATATCTTAGCATAGCTAAGTTTCCTAAACTCTCAGTCTGTCTCTCCAGATACAGTAAGTGGTGGAAAATTTCCATCTCCCATTTTGTTGTGAAGGCAAAGTGAGAAATTATTTGTTGATGTCCTAGCACAATGTCTTCTATCTGCCTGGTCAGCAGTTGATTCCTCATGATTGTGAGTAAAGTGGACACATGATCTCTCTCTCTGACAAAGGCCCCAGAGGCCAGAATCATGAGGGAGGGCTATGCACCTGAATCAGCTGACATGCTGTCCAGACCTGATGGGTGTGGCAAAGGTTTCTGGGTAGAACTTTCCAAATATCTGGAAGGACATGCTGTGTGCATTTGCTTAAAAGGACAGATACCTAAAGATTATGAGCTCAACTACATGATCTGCCTAGATAGAAGAATAGAACATAACGTTAAAGTGCTTCTGAAACATTTTCTAAAAGAAGGTGAAAGGTAAAATTCTGGCAGGTACCTGACACTGGAACAAACAGACACATCTGATAACAGAGGATTAAAATGATCTCTAATGCATGTAATTAAGAATTACAATTGGCCCAATTTTATGGAATAAATTTAAGAATATATGTAGAATTTTTATTCCCTAAATTTTATTTTACTAAGAATTGCCAGTCTATTTTTTGGAAAGTGTGGGTTGCTATAGGCCTCTAAAACTATGACAAACCAACAAAAGGAACACCATCAGTTCCAAGATACATGGACATTTCTTTCAGGAAAAGAAGGGCTCCCCTAAACATAGTTAGAAAACAAGCTGAGAAACTGGCCACATATATAATAAAAGATAATTATCCTTATCACATGAGGGACTCTTACAAATAATTAAGAAAAAGGCAAGCATTTCCTATAAAATAGACAAAACAAGCCCTCCTAAAAGAAGAGAAATAGTTGATAAGCACAGGAAAAATTTTGATTTCACTTGTAAACAAAAACATTAAAATTAAAACAATGAGATGGTCATTTTGAAAAATCTCTTCTATTGGTAATAAGGAAAGACAATGGTAGTATTTCACGTTGATGTATGTGAATGTGGGCAGACCTGGCCTCTGCTGAAAGGAGGTTGCTGTGCTTTCTGGGTAACCACTGAGCAGTAAATACTAAAGATCAGTGGGGCAGGTTAATATAGCATTTATGTTTCTAGAAATTTGCCCTAAGAACTAGTCTGGGAAATTTACAAGGAATTATGGCAAAAGGACATTTATTGTAGCATTATTGGTAACAGCCAAACACTGAAAAGACTTTACGAAATCATCAGTAAAGAGATCACTAAATAATTATGGCCCATCTACCAGTGAAACAGAATGATGTCAAGCTGTTACAAATATAGGTCAGTGATACATTGCTAGATTAATGTTTAAAAGACAAGACAATATGCATAATATGCTTGATCCTTTCTTATCTATCTGTTAATATTTATTTGAAAGATCATAAATAAATATTTGGAAGATCGTACATCAAATTGTTCAAGTTACTGTCTCTGGATAATAAGATAATTACTTTTATTCTATTCTTTATGTTTTCCTGTATGTTCTGATTTTTTTTGGAAATAAAAAAATCATTTTTATAAAAAAGGAAAATGTAAGAAGTATACCTGCAATTTAAAACTTATAAATTAAATGAACTATATAGGTGGTTCTTTACACTACAAAACTTTCTTCAAAACTGACTTTTTGGGGGGTGATGATGACATCTGCTTAGTTCTTTGGCGCCCTTTGCTGAGAGCATTTGGGCTAAATGCCTTTGTATTGGCATCTTGTTTAATCCTCACAATTGTGAGAAAGATCTTATTGTCTGCATGTTATAAATGAGGACACCGAGGCCCAGTTACTGAAAATAAGTAACTTGGGTGGAGAACCCTTAGGGAATAAGTGGTTGTGCTGGGCTTTAGCCCCTGGTCTCATTTGGCTCTAAGCCTGGCTCTTCATATCGAATAAAAACTCATTCAGCTCTCCAAAGAGAGAAACATATTGAAATTAAATGACAAGCAATGGAATGGTTTTCCATAGTCCAGTAGAAAAGCTGGATTTGTTTTTAAAGGTTTACATGCCAGCATTTGAGGGTGGAAAGTAATCTAAATATCTAAAGCACTGGAAATGTCTCTTTTACATGAGGTCGTTCAACTCAGACACAGGACTTAGGACACATCCCACAGGAGAACTTTGTTCCAACACTACTTCTTGTAATCTTGAAAAGCACCTACTTACTTCTCTTTCGTGGTATCCTTGGGTTGTAACATAGGGAATTCCACGGCTATCATTTCTGGAGTCAACATAATTTCTGCATTCTGTTCACACAGCTCACTGAAAAAGAATGATATTTAGCTGAAATAGCTTTTCCTTCCCAAAACAAAGTAGAGAAACATTGTGAACATTTAAGAGTTAGGTAATTCTTATGACTTTCAACAATAGTTCCGCCTCCTCTTATTAAGAAAGCACAAGACTGATAAACTGCTTTCCACCAACAAACATTAGTCGAAGTAGTCTTCTTCTAACCAGAGAATAAAAAGTATTTAAAAAAAAAATGGATTAGCGGAATTCAAAATCTTTCCAAGTTCACATGAAACATTTGCCATATTGATCATATTTTGAGCCATAAAGAAAGCCTCAATGATCTCAGCAATGATATCATTTCATGCATGTTCTCTGGCCACAATGGAATCTGAATAGAAATTAACAGCAAAAAAGGCAACTAAAAAATTCACCACTACTTCAAAAACTAAACTATATATTTGTAAATAATCTCTGAGAGAAAGAAAAATGGAAGGATTTGAGGTTATCTTGGACTCATGGTCTGCTATCCATTAGAGCAGGGCTTTATAGTCTCTTTCCAACAACTCATCTCTTTTGATGTAATATGAAAGGAATCATAGAATATATTTAAATGAGATAATATGGCTATTTTACAATAAAACTATGTACCAAAATAGGTGGCAGGACAGATTTGGCCATACGTGAAAGTTTGCTGGCCCTCAACCTAGAACTCTGTTATCTGAGAGTATAAGTTGGGTCACTGCATACATGTGGGGACCAAATACGCTGGAACAAGGCAGAGAGAGAATAGAGAGCTCTTGCTCTGTTAAGTGTCCTGACCACAAAAGTCTCACCTCTGCTCCATATCTGTGACCAGGGCCTGGTGGAATGGATCACTTAACTGCAAAGGAGGTTGGGCAGTCTCTACTTTCAGCAACCTTACTGCTTTAAAAAGGAGGAGCATGGTTTTTGTTTTTTTTTTAATGAATAATATAATAGTTTATTTTTACATCGTTTTGTGTATTTTTCCATCTCAGTTGTAATCCCCTTGGGCTTCCCATCACCAAATCACTCAAGCATGGATTTTTTTAAGAACCCTAGTTTCTGCCACATTCAGTTAAAGCAAAATACTCCCAACATCAACAAACACAACACTGGAATTATAAACAGGAAAACACTATTCAACAGTGACATATAAACAGAGGTGGGCATAGCAATTTTTTCGAAGGAAGGCACTCCTGAAAACTACAGAAGTTGTTCTAGTCTTGTAGGATTGAAAGGTGAGCTTTATGAAGCAGTTGCTCCGTGTGAATCACTATACAGCAGCTTCCTTATCTCTATTAACCACCTCCTCATCTCTACAGTGGGGGTAATCACAAGACTTCATTGTGGGTTTTAAATGAGATGGCTTGTAAAACATTGTCCTTGAAACACATTTAGTACTCAGAAAGTATTTGCTGCTATAACCACCACTGTCATCATCAGCATCCTCATTCTCACCTCTAACTCTGATGACCCCATAGGAAATAGATACTATTATTCCCATTTCAAAGATGAGAAAACTGAGTCACAACAGTCCACATAGCAGTGTTGAGTGGAGGATGTGTTAGCAATGCTTTGGTCTGCTATGCATCTCCCCATTGGGCATGACCAGGCTGGAACTGTTCCTCTGAACCTTCAGTAGATGTGCATTGTCCCATCCTGGTTATATTAGGTGGTTTGAGTAGGAGACACCTTCTGTTCAGACTGGGACTCCAAATTTTAGAGGCCCAAGTATTGCTAAGAATCACTACCTGTGGGTGTGTCTCAGACGAACTTCAAGTATTTAGGACTTCATGGATTGGTTACTTAGATATAAAAGTGGTAAAATGGGCAATGCAATAGGAGGTGCAAAGACATATTTTCAGTGGCTACTAGATACTCCCTTCATCAAATTGAAGCACCTTTGGGGATCGTATTTCTTATGCCCCTCCAAATCCTAGCCATCTTTCAATTACAACCCAAATGATCACAGCAGCTTTCCAAAGTCATGTGGCATCATTCCCCTTCCCCCTTCCCTGCCTCCCACCAATCTCCTCTCCCACTCCAGAGAGGTTCCCAGAGCAAATTTGAGATCAGGAATTTAGCCTCTCATTAATCTTATCTTATTTGAGTTGCAAGCTCAGGCATGGTATGCTCTTTGAAATCTCTTACAGCACCTGTTATATTTATGAAAAACAGACTGCATTAGAGATTAAAGGTATAAAAATTACCGTTCGATGGTTTCCAATCTGTCTTCTTCTGGTAAGGCGTTCAGAACAGCAGGGACATCTATAGGAATCATAGCTACATTGTAAGAATCACAACTGTAGGAAAAAGTCATACAAGCAGCCAAGGATAAATAATCACATTAATAATCTTGGAATCTACATGTAATCTTGGAGTACTTTTACTTTACTACTCCCTCACTACTGAAACTCACTCGTGTTTCCCTCCAGGCACAGGTAGGGGTGTGACAGGAATCAGTTAAATCCAGAAGAATACTGTCAAGGAAAACTTTTTCCAGAAAGGGAATTTTCTTTTCTTTTCTTTTCTTTTTTTATATTTTTTAAATTTTTAAATTTTAAAAAAATATTTATTTATTTATTCATATAGAACTGGGGTACAGGCCAGAGGTGCAGAGGCAGTGAGAGGATTCACCAGAGACAGAGCAGGGAGCAGAACAGGCAGATGGACTGAAATACACTGCTGAGGGGAGCAGCGGGCGGGTCAGGAGAGGTCTGCCGCGCCATGTGGTCACCTCCGGGGCAGGCGGGGGTGGAACTCATGCGGAAGTGGCTTTAGCTTCTTAGTGCTGCGCTTTAACCCACTGTGCCACCAGGGAGGGCCCAGAAAGGGAATTTTCATACTGGTAGTGTTTAAAATTATATCTTTTCCAGGAAGATGAGACAATTAGATTAATTTTTGTTCTTAAATCCCTTCCCCTCTCCCCCATGGTTATATACTCTCCCTTAGAAGTTATATTCAAGGTTTCAATTTCAAGCCTTCCTCCTCACTGTCTTATTTATTGTCGAGAATTATACATTTAGAGCTTTTTATAAAAATTCCTGGTATAGAGGATGTTAAAAGAATTGAGATTGGGAGAAAAAAAACCATATTATTATTTTAAAGGACTTATTTCAAGATGTGAACCAAATACATGCTTGTTTTATTTTCTTTTTCTCTCTCTCTTCTTTTCTTTCTCTTTTCATCTCTCAACTCCTTCCTGGCTTGTCTTCAAATGATCTTAAAGGCAACTTTCTGGAAGAAATTTATGGGAGCTGGGAAGAGTGTCTTTATGAATAAAGAGTAAAGAATAAAATTCTAGAACACACAGGAAAGAAACAGACCCCCTCACAAACCCTGGAAAGGCTGTAGGTTGAGGGGCAGGCATGAGGCAGGTATGGAAAAAACACGGTAGTTCATTGGAGTTGCTTGAGAAAAGTTTCTTTTTCTTATTTTGGTTGGTGGAATAAAACTACGGTACATGGTTTTGACAGCTGTAGACGAGTGAGCAAGTTATCTATAAACTAATGTGGCATGATTTTCAGGAGAGAATCAGTGAAAATAAAAGAATCAAGCAAAATGCATAAAAGCATTTATCTATGTGCCAGGCTTTGTATAAAGGAAGAGAAATAAGAAAAATAAACAAATTATGCTTAACATTACAAAGAGAAATGCCAAAGGGATGTTAGATGACTAAGCGGGGTTACAGACAAGTGGTGGGAGGGAGTACAGTTTCTCTCATACACCTTTTTAAAAAAAAAAAAAAGATTTATTTATTGATGCATACAGAACTTGGGTATAGGCCTTCGTGCAAGGGTGAGAGGATTCACCAGGGACAGAGTGAGGAGCAGAACAGGCAGATTGAAATAAACTGCTGAGGGGTGCAGCGGGCAGGTCAAGAGAAGTCTGCCTCACCATGTGGGTCACCTCGCTGGTTGGGGATTGAACTTGTGCTGCAGTGTCTGCAATACGTTCATAGTGCTGTGCTTTACCCACTGTGCCATCAGTAAGGGCCTCATACACTATCCCATTTTGAGTTAGGAGAGCATGTTAATGTTCTACATATTAAAAAATTAAATCAGTAAGAAAGGGAAGGGGGACACAAAAGCCTAAACCAATGGTAAATGGAAACAAATAATATTCACATGAGTTCCATAATCGTACAGGAGGGAAAGAAAGAGGGAGAGGAAGAGGAAGTAAAAGAAAGAAAAAAGAAAGCCAAGTATTCAGTTTCAAATCGGATGGAGTGAGGGAGAAAAATGCAAGTAATTCCTAACTTTATTTTTATGCTGGTTTATTAAATTGATTTTAGGTGAAACAATTCTGAAATTATGTCATATATACTATCAAATTGAGTAAGGGAGTAAAAGTGTTAGGTATGGTGGAAGAAGAAACAGACAAATGAAAGGGAAACAATGGCTTTATGGATGAGAACTGGAATTGAAAACACTGGCATAAATTTATGATTTCTAATGTCTAGATGGCTGTAGATGTGTGTGTGTGTGTGTGTGTGTGTATGCACCAGGTATATATAGGTCTGGGTACATGTACTGTACATGTATGCATGCGTGTGTTCCCACATACACAACCTGGCATGTCCGCTGAGAAGCTCAAAAAACAAAAATGTGTGTGTGTGTACAACTCAATAACATTCTTCACTAAAAGAACCCTGGGCTGTGCCACCAGTGGTTGATCTTATTTACTGACCATGACAAAGAAAGCAGGTTCTAAGAGACAATTTACTGCAGCTTCAGCACACTTGTAGCCAGCGGGGATTCTTGCCTCCAAAGAGACCAAGAGGTTGGAAGCCTGGTCCAACTCCTGAGAAGGTGGGCCTGAGAAGCAGGAATGGCAACAACCAAGAGGTTTTCACAAAATTTTAAAGTTCATTAAACTCAGTGCCCTTTGCTTTGTGTGTGTGTGTGATAATTTGTTCTTTTGAGATGAAAATTATAGTAGATGGTGGTTGTGTAACAGGGTGGTCCCTAGAAAAAGGAGAGGTTCCAGGTTCCCTGCCCCACCCAAAGGAGAGTAGAGCTGAGTAAGGAGGAGAAGAATCTGGAGAGGAGACTGAGGAGGAAGGAAGCAGGATGGAGCGCCAGAAGGAGACCTGAGGAGGCACACGGAGCACAGAGATATGTGAAGAAGCAGCTCTTGCTCCTTGGTTCTGGACTGGCGGAAGCAGATGTGGGTGAGAGACCCGTGGAGGGATTAACAATGGCAGTTTTTATTTTCATTTTGATTTTGCTCTTTTCTCTTAGGCTTGTCTGGCCATTTCTGACCCTTTCCTATGGGTCCTCACCAGAAGGTGCTTTAGACTTGTGTGGGCTTTCAGGCCTGGCTTTGGGCCAATCCCTTTTGGGTGGTCTTTCACCCACGAGGGAATGGGTATCTTTGGGTGTTTGATTTAGAAACTATATTCTTTGTCTTTTCTGAATTGCAAACTCATTGTATTAAAGTTCCCTTCCATTAAAGGTTTTATATGTTTTGTCTTGATGCGGAGATGGCAGAACCTATTTAGAGCAGGCAGGTGTGGGGGCCCTGGGGTGCCCCTCTCCCTGCCCTGTAACAGATGGGGATCTGCTTTTGCTTTGTCTTGTTCTAATGCTTTGCTTGGCAAAGTAGAAGTCTGACACACCCAAGTCAGTTCCCCAAACTCTTCTGGGCATATCACTCAACTGAACTACACGATTACATAACTTCTTCATCTGACATTCAGATTTTATGGAAGTCTGAGGGAATCAACAAACTCTCTCTGAATTTATTTAAAAACAAGGAGACCAAATGAATTGTTCTGATCATTATAAATGCAAAAATGCTTTGGAATATGCAGCAATGTGGATAGACCTAGTGGTTATTATGCTAAATGAGGTAAGTCAGGTAGAGAAAGGCAAATGCCATAGAATTATTCACATATGGTACATAAAGAAAGCAAACGAATAAACTAAATAAAGCAAAAACAAAACTTTTAGACTGTAAGAGAAATTAGTGGTTATCAGCAGGATGTGGAGAGTGGGTAAACCATGTAAAAGCGGTCAGTTGTACAAAAAAGGATAGATTTAAACCTTTAGTGGGGAACAAATGTAATAGATAGAGACTGATTTTTAAAGATAGACACCAGAACACAATACAGACACATTACACAATATTACTTCACTTAAAAAAAAAAATAGTGACCCGGGCTCTCCTTGGTGGTGCAGTGGGTTGGAGCTCTGCACTTCGAAGCTAAGCCAAGCTGTGGCCACTTCAGTGTGAGTCCAATCCCCGCCCCAGAAGTGACGCACATGATGCAGCAGTCTTCTCTTGCTCACCCACTGCTCCCCTCAGCAGTGTCCTTGGTCAATCTGCCTGTTCTGCTCTCCACTGTTTCTGGTGAATCCTCTCGCCACGCGGGCACCTTTGGTGGTACCCATTTCTGTATGCATAAATAAATAAATCTTTTAAAAAAAACAGAGGCCCAAAATTTAACCATGTGGTGGTACAATCCATTTGAACATTAAATGAGACGTAATATTTAAAATCTCAAAAAGTGAGTTTACTGGAGTAAATCTATTGGAGTAAGCAAACATTAGTCAGTACAGTCATGGTTTAATAACAAGTACCTCTCAGGGGCACAGGATACAAGGTAAACACCTCATAAGTAATAGGTAATTTATTCAAGCAAAATGACTTGAAGTTAGATATCATTAATGGATGTACAGGAACTTAAAAAAGAAAACCAATGCAGGAACTTAACAAAGAAGACCATTATTACTTTGCAATTGCTTTTAGAAAGGAAAAACAATCTTAGAGTCTTTCATCATGGAAACTCATAATAAAAGATAGATATAGAGAGAATCTTCTCTTTATCTTATGATCTGTTATGCAATTACAATTTATTTTGAAACAAATTGGCCTCACAAAGAGCATTCAGGCACAGAAGCTGAAAGTAACAGCTCAGTGGTTGGGGAGTTTTCTTTGATTCATGTAGAATTCATGTTTAATTCATGGTTAACCCCAGCCCAAGGTAACTGCATTCTGACTGTTTTTTGAAAGAACAGTCTCAAGAGCTTTTTCCAAGGACACTGCTTTGGGGCAAAAAAAAAAAATAATAATTTTTTCCTTTACTTTTGAGACCTGTGCGTGCTGCCACTGGGTGGACACAAGAGTCTCCAGGTTCCCATTTTGCTCACTCTGTGTCCTGACAGTTCCCCACTCTGGCCATGTTTGGCTGACTGACTACAGGGTCATTGTGAAGTGCTCTCACCCCTCAGCAGCGTGAGACAGTTTCAAGGTGGCAGCAGGTCATCACCGCTTGGTGGCGACACAGTGGTGGTGGTTAGTGATGGGGGAGGAGGTAGAAGATAGAAGAGTAAGAAGCGTTATTAAAGATGGTGCTAGATGCTTCATATCATCATTTTACTTTGCTTCTCGCAATGGCCCAGGGAAGGAACCGTCACCCACCCTATTTCAAAGATGAAGAAATTATCGATCCAAGGGCTTGAATAATGAAACTCCTTAAGGTCACAGTGTGCTGCATGTGAATCAAGTAAGGACAAAGCCATAGAAAGGAACTATTATTTCTGAGCTTCTATCATGTCCCAAATCCCATCAGGGTGCTTTTTGCAGGTCTAATGTCAATCCCGAGGCAAAGGAGAGCAAGAGAGTAGCACTCAGGAAACAAACCGAAGTGACTGCATATGGTAAAGCTTTCTGGAAAGAAGTAAACTTCAGTGTTCTAGAGTCACAGGCTAGACCTTCCACTATCTTCTCAAATACCGGGGGCAAGGGGCGTGAGAGCTAGTATTACGGGGTCACTGAACATTGGGGAAGCTTTCCTACTTCTACTGAAATGACTGAGAAGGGGCTTCTCAGCAAGTCCAAACCCCTTGTCTTATGGACAAGAGCACTGGAACACAGGCAAGGCTGAGGTCACACCACTCCTGGCGGTCTGGTGGCTTTGTGAGGGGCGGACCGGGAGTTTGTGTCAGAGGATCCAGGCTACCTTGGTGGCATCAGAACACTCAAGATCAGTGCTGGCCTTGGGCCCACTTCTGGGCCCAGGTCAGGCTCTACCACTTTGAGGCGGATCTCATTCCGGGTCAAAGGATTTGATGCTAATCTTTTTGAGATGCTCACTGCATTTTCTCACTAACAATTCATTTAAAAGTGTTTATAAAAAGAGAGGACTAAAGATGCAAATTCAAGGGCTGGCAATTTTTAAATGGTAGAAATTAAGCATAAAAATTCAGCTGACTTATATGGGCTGGTTATCTACTTAACTTTTTTCTCATTGGAGTGACAGTAATACCTACCTCTGTGCAGCCTCTATCTTATAACATTATGTGTGTTTTAGTCGGCCCAAATTCAAATTAACACCAGTATATGCTATATTATATTGAACACCAAAAGGGGAGTTTCCATCTGTCAGTTGTCTACATTTATTGACATATGGCCAGCTAGCCACTGGTGACACTCATTTTTTAAAAGAATTATTGATTTATGCATACAAGAACAGGGGTACAGGCCAGAGATGCAAGGTGGGGGGGCAGTGAGAGGATTCACCAAAGACAGAACAGGCAGACCAACTGAAATACGCTGCTGAGGGGAGCAGCAGGCAAGACAGGAGAGGTCTGCCACACCATGTGGGTCACCTCCCTGGTGGAGGATATCGAATTCATGCTGCACTGGCTGTGGATAACTTCATAGTGCTGTGCTTTAACCCTTTGCACCACCAGGGAGGTCCTGTGACATTCATTTTTTAAATGCATTTCAATTAACATAAATCCGAAACCTGAAAATCAGTTATACATCATCCTATTTCCCTGACTAGGAATCTTTCCTCCTGTGTTATAATAGACACATTATTGGCGCTTTAACTTCTGGGCTCACGGTCTCTGTAATTCATGAGGCAGACATACTCCTGTGAGACAAGCAGGTGGATGGTGGCCTACCTCTGCGCGGCCTCTATCTTATAGTTGCTGAGTAGGGATGAGAAAACCAGGGGCTGGAACCTCTTCCAGTGCATTATTCCAGGAATAATGTCCTGCAATGAAAGTGGGTACATGGGGACTCCTTGTGAAGGAACTTTTCGGTGAGGAAAAGTTTAGGAGGGACTTCAATTCAATTCACCCATTTTTCATTCTTTGAAAAAAAATTTAAATATATTTATTTACTTTACATCATTCTTCATTTCATGCATTTTTTCATCTCGGTTGTAATCCCCATGGACTTCCCACCACCACTTCACCCATATGCTATCACCATAATCTCATGTCCTCTGCCTCAGTTTGGATCCTAGTCCCCTCTATTTTTCATTCTCAAAAGGTTAGCTCCAAAATTTATCATTTCACTAAATCCATTAAGTGGACATTTCTGAAGCTAAAAGATAGTAAGCAAGGGGCCTTAAACAACAGAATTAAAGATGAAGGAGAGACTGTCTTCTCCTTGATGCATAAGGCACGCAAGCAACATTTCATGGGTATGAAAGGCTGAATTCGTCTTAAAATCTCTTTCAGGTTGTTGTAAATGTGATACTAAAGCATCTAGAGATGATGGGTCCTTCAGCAGATGGCATTCCAAGCTGGTAGAAGCAAACACAAATGTATGGAGATGCTCAGTAGGACCTGGAAGGACACTGCCAGCTGAGGCCAGCCCAAGGCGGGGTGTGTGATGGGGACTGACAGGAGGCTCCTCATGAGGGCCTTGTGGGCCACACTACTGAGCTCAGAGCTATTCCCACAGGCAGCAGAAACCACCAAGGACTTTCAAGCTGGAAAATGACATGAGCAGGTGTATGTCAAAAGATTTCTAGGGAGCACTGTCTGCACAGGGGTGGGTCATGGATGGAGGAGGGAGATCAGCATGCTGCTGGAGACAGACTACTGGAACCCAGGGGTGTTCAGATAGGAAGGGATCAGGGAGGGAGAGGAAGGGATTAGGGAAAACACGGGCCCTGGCACAGGCCACAGAAAGACAGGTAATGGGTAATACTGGGAGAGGTGGCTGTTTGAAGTGCAGTGGGCAGAAGCAGAGATAATGATTACAGGAGGACAAACACTCTGGAGACTCTTCCTTACTGTGCGTTTGTCACAGCTGATATATTACTGTTTTTGTCCATTCTCATGTACTTATGCTTGCTGGGGCCAAAAAAGAGGTGAGACAAGGGTGCCCACCATGTGGTTATTTTTGACATGATTGAAATAAGAATAAAATAAGTACTAGTCCTCCAGGAGGTGGAGGTGGGTGGGTGGGGACACAACATGTAGCCTGAGAGGTGGGGACTGAGTTTCCCACCTGTGCTCGTCACCATTCCTCTGCAGCTATGGCTGCAAGACTTCTCAGTTCAGCTGTGACCCTTCAACCTCGTCCCCTGCTGCCAAGGGCCAGCTCTGCCGATGTGTCTAGTGCAGGCTAATTACCGTGTGATGGAGAAATGGCTTTTGGGTGAGAGGAATGCTGGACCCAATGTGGGACTCTTTGGTGAACTTGTACTTGGGGTGCGGGCACAGATGGTAATTTATTGAGGTTTCTACGTAGGTCAGAGGGTGCATCACAGCAAATAATCCTGGGCTGGGATTCTGCAGGAAAAAAAAAAGAACAAAGATTTTTTTTGTTATTACCAGTTTCTGGGCCAGGCTTGGGGTGGGTGAGCTCACCTTCTCCATGGCCCCTACCAAAACTACACTGACTCCAAGTCAGCTTGTCTGCTCCAAGAGAGCAGAGATGCCTTCAAGTTGGCAGCATTTTAAATGTCACAGCTATTCATAAATGTCACTTTTCGGGATTAAGAGCTTCATTACCTACCATGTGGATTTACTAAGCTCACATGGTGACAAGTGTAACTGAAATCATAACTAAATGGTTTAAAGCATTTTTTTTCCTAAATATGATGTATCATGGGATATTATTTAATATCACCAAACTAGTTTCTAAAAAGCAAATAAGCTTCTGGTCTTGCAAACAAAAATAGTTCTTAAAAACTATTTTAAAGAGAAGACAAAGGGGGTGACATTTGATATATCAGGAAATGTCAAGATTTAACATTGTTTGGTAATGTTTTTAATCCAGGAAGGCTCCATGTGAATGTAGTATCTGGTTTTCAGGAAGATCCTGTTATTTTTTTGCTAATTTTCTAGCAGAACTACTAGAGGCACAGAGCAAATAAATAAAAATAGAGAACATAGAGGCTTTCATATTCCTTTTGGGGTTGCCCAGCAAAGAAACCTCTACTGTTTCCCCAACAGCATCGTTTCTAACCACTCACAGTTATTTCATTTTAGATGTTGAAGAACCAAGAAGTTAAGATTTTATTATTTTTGTTTGTTTGTGTGATTTTTTAAAAAACAATTAAAATAAAACAAAACTCCACGTGGCTTATGAAAATCCACTGCTAAGAAACAAATGCTCTCCCATAACTTTAAAGAAAGTGTAAATCAACCAGGGAGGTCCTAGAGCATCCAGACTGGGGGGAAAGTCTTGTGCTGGTGGCTGTGTGAATGTGGCAATGGGTCAGGAGAGCTGGGGAGACGAAGTCTGAGTGCAGAGGGGCTGCGAAGGCCAGGGATAGGCTGGGGGCTCAGGCCTGAACTCCTGGGTAAGAAAGAAGGAGGGTGTGGCGGTGATGATGCCCACAGAGGGAGCCTGAAGCGTAGAATAATGCAGAAACATTTTTGTAATGTAGAAAAGATCTTAAGATTATTTCATAAAAATAAATGTGAAAAGATATAAACACTGACATTGTGCAAACAATCAATGCTGACAAGCAATCTCAAAGGTGAGATGTTGTTTAGTCTTTGACATTCCTGAGAGGGAAAAACATCCCTAGTTAATGTTTCTGTTTTTTGACGAAATGTCGGTGTAAATATGGGAACACAGAACACACAACTTCTGCCAGTTGTCACTTACAAAAATATAAAGTGGGTCATAGTCTGGAGACCCTGCTAAGGCTTCGGGGGGCTTCATGCTCAAGACGGAGGAGCTGCCAGGGAGCTGAGGTGTGGCTTCGTGCTTTGGCAGGGTTATGATGGTGGTGGCTTCATCCTAGGACAGGACCAGGAGCACTGTGTTAACTGTGTCACCAGCACGAGGGCGAAGGAGAGAGAGCAATCCTTGGAGACCGGTTACCTCAGCTCCTTGCTTCAGGGCTCGAGCGAGCTTCCGAGGCCTGTCGCTCATTGCAGCCTTCTGGATGCAGAAGGGCTGATACCCCTTAATTTTGTACAGTTGAGGAACCTAAGGGTGAAGGACGACCAATGAGTAAGTAGCCTTAAAAGCCCCTTACCATTTAGTGGGATCTATTTCTCAACAATATTTCCAAGCAGCCTGCTGGTGAAAAGAAAACAAGCACCTGTTGAAACCATCAGTTGGGGCCACAGTTAAATCTGACCAGCCACTGGGCACTCCCTGGTGGCACAATGGGTTAAAGCTCTACATTATGAGGCTGTCCACAGCCACTGTTGACTTCGATCCCCGGCCAGGGAGCTAATCCACATGGTGCGGCAGGCCTTTTTTGTTTCGCCTGCTGCTCCCCTCAACAGTGTGTTGAGTCCGCCTGTTCTGCTTCCCACTCTGTCTCTGGTGAATCCTCTCACCCCCGCACCTCTGGCTTGTACTCTAGTTTTTGTATGCATAAATAAATAAATATTAACAAAAATATATTACAAAAAGAAAATCTGACCAGCACTGGAGAGACTTCAGTGCAGCCCCGCTTCCAGCAAAAGTACACAGCCCCTGTACTTAACGGCGTAACGGACACACCCAACACTGGGTTGTCAACTGAAAATATCTATATTTCCAAATATAGAAGGGGTCATATTCCTTAAGAAGGGCTGGCTAATTTTTGTTCACTTCATCTTATTTTTTTTCTTAAAGTTTCTAATAGAAGTAATTTAGCAAGCTTCATGGATGCCTATCACATGGTATATTCAGAGTAAAGAAAGATTCTGGCTTCCACACCAGGAAAAAGAGCACACTGTACTTCACACATACCATAAAACAACAGTAGGAAAACACACACCATGAGCCACATAGTATAGTCCATAACAGAACTGACACACAGTTCAAATTCAAGATGATTTTGTTCACTTCCCGAGAAACACAATGAACTGACATCTGATGACAGGTCTGACCTGCAGATTGAAGAAGGAATAACTCTGCTTGATTTGAAGGTCTAAAGCTTTAATTGGGACTGGTCCAAGGCCATCAGGAGCCTAAAGTGTGTAAATTCAGAAACGAGTACAGTCAATAATAAGCAAAAGCAGCTATCCAATTTCCATACATTTTGAATATTAAATAAACAGTTCTACTCTCAAAGTTACCCTTTTTGAGACAACTGTCACTTGATGTGTGGGCCGTGCATACAGCACTGGCCACTCCCTTGCTCTCGTCTCTTGGTGTATGAGATGGGATGAATTTTTTACTTTCTACTGCTATGGATGCTGCAGTGTCGCCCAGAATCCCCTTCAGGCTGGAAGGATCTAGTCACGCAGCTGCTAAGAGCCAAGTTTAGAAAAACTCCTGGGGGTCAGGCCTCTTTGGGGGTTGCCCTGGATGAGAGGAGCTGCCTTGCTTAGGGTTTTGGGTGAGAGAGGCCAGGGCAAGGGAGCCAAGGGGGTGATGCAGCAGTGAGTCTGGTGGGTTAGATGTTAGATTCTGGGTCCACAGCCCTCACCACCAGGTTGGGTTAAGGCCTGTGGCCTCCTCTTGTCTGTCCATTTGTCCACATAGCTAGCGGGCTCAGTTGCACTAGACCTGCCTCTATGGGCCTTGATTCAAGATGCCCAAATCAGACCAGTCCACGATTCTCAGAGTTGGTCTTCTAGAAGCCCTGGTCTGGCATGCAGAATATTTTGAAGAGCAGTGAACCCCCTTGAGGCTGAGGATACACTTCTGTCCTTGTCTAATTCCTGTGTCCCTCCCTAGTGGAACAGGAGATCATCATGCCCTTTTCCTAATCAGAGAAGCAATCATTGTTCCCCTTTTATGACCTTAGAGGTAATGGTTTGGAGGGTCTGCCTAGAATTCCAACATGTTCTCTCTTTCTAAAAATTTCATCTTCACGCTTAGAGTAAGGACAAGGCCACCCATCTTTTCTGTCAAGTAAAGTGTTCCCGTCCCTAAACTCAGGATAAGTAGTCCACTCCATTATTCTTAAGTATCTACAGCGATGCTCCCCTGTCTGCCCTGTGCTCTCAGGCTTGGTTCTCAGACAGTCAGATGGGGTTCATGTTCTTGCTGGGGCCTATGTTGGGAAGGACCCAGCCCAGGTACCAGAGAGCCCAGTGCTGGTGCATCAGGTGCCAGGTGGTGGCAGGAGCAGATCCTAGTTTCCCATGGTCACGAGTCCCTGGGGCCCAGGCCTCTACTGGGAGCCTCAAGAGGAGGTGGATGGACTCAGATTGAGGTAGGACTTGTCTTGGTATTCACCCTACACACACCTGAGCATGCTCTGCTCCCACCCCACAGCCTGACAGCACCCACCAGCTCGTCAGAAGTTGGAGTAGTGAGGTGAGATGGGAAGGTGAAGGGCAGGATTTTCATGGGTGATACAGAGAAATGATCAGAATAATCATCTTGATTCATCCGAGGCACAAATTTACAGGCAGTCTCTGTGGGTGACAAACAAAACAGCACGGTGGTGGTGGTGGTGGTGGCGGGATATGCTGTATGCTGAAGGTGTTTCTATGTGAAGCCACCACTTTTATATTTGCCTCATGCCAATTATTCCTTGCCACATACCATTTCAAAAAGGCTGTAAACGGTTCCATTTTGAGTGTTCCCTCTGTTCTTTACCTCAACCCTTTCTTCAACAAAACAAATTTCGTTTTTATTCCCCCACATTATAATTTCTAATTTTAAGTATTTCTTCAATGAATATTCTTTCTGCCTGTCAGCAAAGACAAAGACGAAAGAAGGCTGGGAAGACGTTCTACGGGCACCTGTACATAATTCACGGGGAAACTTTACACTATTTTCAAAGTGTCTTTACTAGAAACTTGAGTACCAGAGATATAAAAACAATACGAGGAAAAAGGGATAATTAAAATGCAGTAAATGCTATGAAAAATGAAACACACATCTGGATCTTGGAGAGGAGCAGAGTGGTCGTGCCGGGAGCACAAGGAAGCCTGAGCCTGGCTCGCGCTGGCAGGCAGGTCCGTCTGGGAGGCTCAGTGGTGCCCTGTGGCTCTGCATGTGAGCTAGGAATCAGAAACACACGCTTTGCAAGAAGATGATGATTTGACTTTTGGAAGAATGGGCTTACCACAGCTCCCATCAGCCTGGGAACCAGAGAGCTAGAATTTCCTGAAGTAGCAAAGATAATACGAGATAGAAGTTCTATGTGCATTGCAACTGAGATGGAAAGATGCATAAAAATATGTAAAAATAAACTAATATAATAAAAAAATGTTAAAAAAAAAAGTTCTATGAGGAAGTCTAGATCGCGCTAACACCAGATCCAGCCAGCCAGTTAGCACATATACATGAGGAGTGCCCTAATCTGGTGATAAGACTAGGACAAGACTCAGCACAGAGGGCACAGAATGGGAGATCGAGCCATGACCAAACCGCCCAGACACGAACACTTGGCCAGGTCTGACGATGGGCAGGTAATTCGGCCAAAGACCACGTGGTCTGATCTGTGTTCTGGGGTAGGTGGAAGGAGGGTTCGCCAAGCACATTCCATTTCCTGTCACCTGGGAATATGTCATCCTGCATGGTCAAAAGAACTTTGCAACTGTAATTAATTAAGGATCTTGAGATGGGGAACTTGTCCTGGATTAGACCAGGAGGTACAAAGCAATTCCACAGGCCCTAAAGAGGGAGGCAGGGGGCCCTCCCTCTTGGCGCAGCAGGTTAAAGGCAACATTGCAAGCTAGCCCCAGCTGCTTCAAGTGTGATCTCCCGCCTTGAAAGTGACCCACATGGCATGGCAGAGCTCTCTTGTCTCGCCCGCTGCTCCCCTCAGGGAGTACTTTGTTAATCTGCCTGTTCTGCTCTCCACTCCATCTCTGGTGAATCCTCTCATTGACCTTCAACTTCTGGCCTCTACCCCAGTTCTGTATGCATAAATAAATAAATCATAAAAAAAATGAGGGAGGCAGGAGTAATCAAGGCAGAGAAGGTGGTGTGATGATAGAAAGAAAAGGTCTGAGTGATACGCAGAAGGGACCATGAGCCCACAATGTAGTTAGCCCCCAGAAAGTCAGAAAAGACAGGAACAGTGTCCCCTGGAGTTGCAGAGGGAACAAGACTTAATGACCCCTTGACTCCAGACTTCTGATCGCCAGAACCATGAGATAATAAATTTGCATTTTTGTAAGTGGTGGTAACTTGTCAGAATGGCCATTGAAACGAACACACATGATTTATGAAAATATTTTGTGCCTATACAACTAACATCATTATAAAGAAACCTCATTCTCAGAGCTCTTATCGGGTAAAGCACTGTTGTCCTTTATAGCTGTACGTTTACCTTGTGATATTGATTCTTTTCCTTCACTGAGATTTCTCCTTATGGCCTCTTTGTCCATTTTGCGAACAGCATTCAGCATATTAAATAATCGTCGCTGGATCATAATCTGGAATTAGAAAGAATCATGATTTCAATTTATTACTGGTACATGTTCAGTTCAATTTGCTTCGCTGACCACAACTAAGGTTTGAGGCCACGACTCTAAGGCAGAGTCACAGCAAAAGTGGCCACAGGGAGCTCGAGGTCTGGGCCATGTTGACCTGGCTAAATACTGAAAATGAGCAGGTTGTCATCTGGCCTTGCTCCACCTGAGTTAAGATATTGGTTTTCTGATATTTTTAGAGTAAAAAGAATGATTAGTTCTACATTTTTTTCTTCTGGGGATATGTGAATAGTATATCCTGCTGAGTTATTTTCAGAGTTGAAGGAGAGACTAACTGCAGGACTGCAGGACATGGATGGTGGGTGGTGTTATTAACTCTAGCCCAATGTGCTCTGCATTCAGCATAGCAGCCACAGAAATCGAGGGCTGCCTGTGCACAGAGCTGCAGCAGAAAGGGACTCCTTCTAGGGTGAACACCCCTGTCTCTCTTGCAGAGAACCTCTTCACTTAACCACAAGTCTGAGGAGGCTATTCTGTGGCTGGCTCTGTGCAAGGTACTGGAGATACAAGGTGGAGCATACAAATGTCCTGCCTGCCTGGAACTGTTGTTCCATGTGTGTGTGGGGTGGGAAGGGAGGGAGCCAGGAGAGACAACACAATAAGATTTAACAATAAGATAAACACTGTTTAGAAAGATGATACACCTGCTAGGGCAGGCCTGAAGGCCTGGAAGTGGGGTGTGGTCATGATGAGGATAATTAGGGAAGGTGAAGAGGTGAGGTTTGGTCTGAGATTCCAATGATGAGGTGACAATGATCTTGTGAAGAGAGTTGAGAGCAGAGAGATTGACATGTACAAAGATCCTGTTCCTGAACAGGGGTGAGTTTAACGAATGGAGAGAAACCAGTATGACCTTGTGGCTGCCATAAACTGTGCATTTTATTGCAGTTGCAGTGAGATGCTTGGGAGTAGAGGTTTTAGCTTTGGAACTTAAACTCTGAGGGAGGGTTGGGCACTGGAAGCAGAGAGCTCTGTCACAGTGGTCCAGGAAAGAAGTGAGCCAGGGAGATGACAGGCAGTCATCAGGCCAGGGACATCCTTGCACAACTGACTGATAGTACTTGCTGGAGAATGTGAGAAGACTGAGCTACCATTCAGAACAAAGAACAAAACTGCTGGCAATATATTTCTAACGCCATAGGGCTTGCTCCGAAAGAGGCCAAGTGTCCCACCAGTGGGGAAGTCAGCCTGGCAAGTTCCTTGCTGTTGTTGGTCCGTTGTCAAAAGCTGTGCTCTCCTCCTTTAGAGCACAGCACTATGCCACCTCTTTCCATAACTTTCTCCCCCACATTGAACATCTGGTGGCCACCTCTGTTCTGTGTGTAAACGGAACTCATCCAGCCAAAGCCATGGCAGGCACAGCTCTACAGAGTCTTGGAGGTGGGGCCTAGGTCTCTGAAGCAGTGAGTTCCACCTCTCCAGTTCACCACCACCAGTGCAGGCTGAAAGCATTGCTTGAAAGATTACCTATGGGCTCTCCCTGCTGGCGCCAACCGGTTAAAGTACCTCATTATGAAGCCATTATGCAGCTCGAGTACAATCCCCCCTCCAGGGAGATCACCCATAGGCATGGCAGACCTCTACTGACCCACCCGCTGTTCCCCTCAACAGTGTATTTCAGTTCATCTGCCTGTTCTGCTCCCCATTCTGACTCTGGTGAATCTTCTCACCCACCATATCTCTGGCTTGTACCCCAGTTCTGAAAGCATAAATAAATCAATCTTAAAAAATAATAAAAAGAAAGACTACCTATGACATACATTGTCGGAATCCCTTATGCATACTCCCTCATTCAACCTTCACAATAACTCTATTATCCTCAGATACAGGTGAGGAAATTAAGCACAGGTTAGATGGTAGATGTCTAAGGTCTGAATGCCCACGAGAGGTTGCACTGAGAGGTTAAGGCAGGTAGCCTGACTCCAGGGTCTGAGACTTAATGATTGCTCTCTCCCATTGGAGGGGAGGCTCTGCTCCCCATGGCAGCCACGCCAGTGGCAGGGACAAGAGATCTATAGACGAGCCAAGACACAAGAATTGCTATGGCGATGGCTAAGTGCTAAAGCTTCCAGTATTCTTAGAGGAAAGAGAGAACTGAGCTGGTGTAACAGACAGGTGTGGAGACAGAGAGCTGGAGTGGCTTTTTGGCTGATGGGTAGGGAATGAGCTGGTGTGTCTGGAAGAGGACAGATGTGACATGGAGATCAAAGGGATAGCTGAATAAGTGTGCAGCAATGTGGGGGGTGAGGGGAAAGAACCTTATCCTTTATTGCAAGAGAGTCTAAGAAGTCTTCATTTGCTCCTGATCACAAAAACCCACTGGAAGGTCGAAGTCTGCTGGGTGGGGAGACCAAGATGAGGATGAAGAAATCAGAGCAGTGAGGGGACACACTCTGAAGGGGAAGCTATAACATGGGCATTACAGATACCATCTCACACAATCTCGCACTGTCCTCTCTACTGTTCTAGAGTTACCAGGTGACCCAGCTTTTCTACTCTTAGGGATATATACCCAAGTGAATTTTAAACATACATTCACAAACTTGAACTTAACATTCATAACATCATTATTTGTAACAGCCTAAAAGTGAGAATTACCCACATTTCAATTGATGAACAGATACACAAAGCGTGGCTGAGCTGTACAAGGAAATGGTATTTGTCCATAAAAAAGAAAGAAGTATTGATACAAGGTACAGATGGATGACCCCTGAAAACATGTTACATGAAAGAAGTCAATTACAAAAGGCCACACACTGCACGATTCTATTTACACAAAATGTCCCAAATAGGCACATCCAGAGAGACAGAAAGTGGGTTAGCAGTTGCCAGGGGCCCAGGGTTGCAGAGTGACAGCTAATGGGAGCAAGATTTCTTTTTGTGGTGATAAAAATGTTCTAAAATTAGACTGGGTAGCTGTATGACTGGATATATTAAAAACTATTGAATAGTACACTTGGCAAGAGTGAATTTTATGGTGGCATAAAATGGTTTATATCTCAATAAAGTTACTATAAAAATCTGATTGCTCCATTTCCTTGTGCTGATGACTAAACAAGTTAAAATATCAATCTGGTGCTGAGACTCACCTTGCGTGCTGCTTGCTGAAACCTTCTTTGTGCCCTGAACCTGTTGACCCAAGTATTATTAATGAGTGGATCAAAATTAGGATGAAATTCTTTGACTTTCTGTGAACATAAAACAGAGGAAACTCTTAGATTAAACATTAACTTCCTGCTACTGTATGAGCCAGCAATTCATAACTAGGAATCTACCCAAAGGACACAAATACACTAACTTGAAATGAAACCTGAACTTCAATATTTATTGCATCACCATTTATAATAGCTAAGATATGGAAATAACCCAAATGCCTGCAAACAGAAGAATGAATCAAAAAAGATGTGATATCTGTATACAACGGAATACCACTCAGTGATCAAATAAGATAAGCTCATGCCATCTGCAGCATCATGGATGGAGCTGGGAGGGATTACAATAAATGAAATGTCAGAAAGAAAAAGAAAAGTACTGGATGGTTTCACTTATGGGTGGAATATAGGGAAACAGAACAAAGGATCAAGAAAAAAACAAAACTCACAAACTAGATCTGAGCATTCAGAGGAGTCAAAACAGGGGAGGGAGCAGTGCGAGGCACTGATGATGATTCACAGGCGCTGTGGTGGTGGGAGATTCATGGGGATTGCACTTGAGGGGAAAAATCAAACACTGTACAAAAATAAATGATGTAAGAAAAAAAATTAACCTCCTGGCATAAACATTTAATGAGAACATTTTAGAGTTTGATCCCAAATCAAGTTATTATTGATTTGCTCTGCCCCTTAATGAGCATTTATTAAGCACTTTAATGTACGGAGCATTACAGAGAATAATTTGGGGGCTGGGGCCAAAAATACACAATGAGATTTGGGTTTTAACAAAATTTAGTCTGGTTGAGGGTTCCCAAGCAAAGGCACACAGGTCACGGGATAAAGTCACACACCAGCAACTGTCACTTGGTGGGTGGTGGCGCTGTGTCCAGAACTGAAAGGAGTAGACTGTGTGACCCTGGCGGAGAGGAGGGCCACGGTCTTAGCCTGCCCTACAGCACCAGCACAGCACCCACTCAGGGGGTGGGGGGTTGAGGGTGCGCAGTATGCACAGGTCAGTAAAGGGATGAGGAGGAAGGTGGGCCTGGGTGTAGGGAGGGCAGCCAGAGCCCTGGGCATTGTAGGGTCTTGAACAGGAGAAAATAGAAAGGAAAAGGAAAACTCCTAAAAGAATGACTCACTAGTAGGCTGTAGAGGAGAGGGAAGGAAAGAAATACAAGAACAACCTCTTGGATTAGTTGAGTCCAACAACTAGGTTGGATTCGCGTATGTCTGTGGAAGAGCTATGGGCAAGATGTTATGGCCGGATTAAAATACAGGGGACTGGACAAGAGTGACCAAAAGCTCAGATGTGGCAAGCCCAGGAAAGAAAGGTGAGAATAGTAGACGTGGGGAGATGAGGAAGAAATTTTTCATTGTTTAAATTGAAAAGTGGTATGTCACCAGAGACATTCTGCAGCGGGGGGTGATCGGGGTGGGGAAGAGGGGAATAGGATCAAAACAGAGGTGGGAAGGGCACAAAGAACTATGGTGATGATACACGGGTGAACTGGTGGTGGCAACTTCATAGGGATGACACCTGAGATGGAAAAGCACACGTTGTACAAACATGGAAAATGATGTTAAAAAAATATATAATAAATACTTAAATAGGGTTTTAGCCAGAAGCTATCAAATGATGGAGGGTCCTCAGGTGCAGGAGCTACAGCCCACACTTCACATTTGAGGACATTGAGGCACAAGGCTGGAGAGACTTTTCCAGGCCCCAAATCCATGGCATAGCTGGCCTAGGACTCTGGCTTCTGCCTTCCTGTCTTGTGCCTTTCTTCCCACAAGCACAAAGGCAAGGAACTGAGGCCTAGGGACTACCTTGAGGACTCTGCAGAGCAAAGGCAAACAAAAAGGGAAACCAAGAAGTAGGAAGCTGAGGTCAGGAAGGAGAAGCCAAAGTGCATAATGTTGTCAGTGTCAAGGGGACCATGAGTTACAAGTTTTGATGCTTTAGTGAGAGAGAATAGGTAGGCACATATTAAAAATGGTTTAACTATCTCTTAGTGAAGGGATTTCTAGTAAATAGTTTAGCCTTCTGAAATAACCATATAAAGAGCAACCAATAGTTAGATTGCAAAGAAAGGAGAGTTACCCACCTCATTTAGATTGTGAATGACCCGTTTGTGGTTAACTTCCACCTCGAGTCGCTGAAATTCCTCATCCAAAACAGGATCCCCTCTATCTTGCTGGGGTTTTCAATTATCAAAAAAGTATATAAATAAAACTGAATGCAAATGCATACAACTCTGTTTTACTTCAAAACTTATAGAGACCCAACAAGCACTGGGTGAAACATACCCATCACTAAGTGAAATGAGCAATTTTTTACAAATATGATATTATGGATTTAATTGTGTTTTGTCAACTCCAACAATCAGAATTTTTAAATTTAAAATTTTATAAACAGACTTTGTTTAACATGCCCTGAAACTGACAGTTTGAAAGTGTTGGCAAATAGATTGTTAGTTTAGAAAGAGGGAGATTTCTTATGTCTTTATGAAGAAGGGCTCTCTCGTGCCACATAAACCAGGGGTGTCCCACAAGCCCATCATTCCCCTCTCCAATCTCCTCCCCAGATGTGACAGGGTGCCACTACGACCCAGGAGCAGTCTACTTCTCCCTGCGGTTCCTTCTCTTTGTTCAGTACATTTAAGAGTCCCCGACATGGAATTTGTGTGGCCGCTGGCTGTTAACTTTGGATCTCTTTATCGTCATGCTCTGCAGCTCAAAGGCAGGGGCAGACCTCACACCCAGAATTCCCACCTGACCTGGAGCTATTCTTAAGTTCTGAATTAATTACCTTTTCCTCTTTACTACTTTTCAGTTATCTCACATCTTCCAAGAAACTATCCAATTAAGTGAATTCTCTCCTCTCTAGCTTCTGACTTCCCACAATAGTTAGTATAGGTCTTATGTGACACTTCCAGTCACAAGCTTAATTATGGTTAACAATTAACTTGTCATCAGCCTCCCACCCGAATTATAAATGTTCTTTCTCCTGATATTACATCTTGCATATAGCAGGAATTCATAATATTTAATGTCATAAATGATATCAAATTAGCAGTAATTCTAACCTTGTATTTGGTATCTGCTCTTTGTCGCTCTTCAAGGATATCTTTTTGAAGTTTTAAGGATATGTGATCTTTACCAAGGTGCACCTGCCTGGGGAGAAAAAAATCTAATTTCCAAAATCCATCAGACTGTAAGTCAATGTTACAGTGGAGTGAGGCTGTTAGCTTAGTCCATAACTGAAAATAGCTACTGAGATAGTGGAGACACCACGAGGGAAAGAATTTCTAGAGACTTCAGAGACATAACTAAGATGAATAATGTGTTCTAGAAAATGAAGTTTATTTTCTAATGGCACATGCTAAAATTTTTGAATAAAAATGTCTCGATGCTGAATATCAATAGTTATTAGGAAAGTTCAAGTCAAAACCACAATGACATTCCATAACACACTCGCAAGGATGGCAAAGATAATGATGATGACACCTGTGATAACAATGTGATAACAAAGAAAAGTACCAGGTGTTGTTAAGGATGTAGAAAAATTGGAAGGCTGGTCCATCATTGATGGGAATGTAAAATAGTGCAGCTGCCATGGAAAGGTTACACACAGAACTACCACATGACTCAGCAGTTCCTCACCTAGGTCTATAGCTGAGAGAACTACAAAAAAAAGTTCACATGCAAACGTATGTATTGATGTTCACTGCATTGTTGACAATAGCGCAAAAGTAGAAACCACCAAAATGTCAGTCAGCTGATGAATGAATAAACAAGATGTAGTGTGTGTCTCTAAAGTAGAATATTACTCAGCCATAAAAAGAAACTGATAGATTCTATGATGCGGATGCAACATAAAATTTGTTGAAAGAGGGGCCCTCCCTGGTGGTGTAGCGGGTTAAAGCACAGCATTAAGAAGCTAAAGTCACTTCAGCATGAGTTCCATCCCTGGCCCGGAAGTGACCCACATGGTGCTGCAGACCTCTCCTGACCCGCCTGCTTCTCCTCTCAGCAGTGTACTTTGTCAGTCTGCCTGTTCTGCTCCCTACTCTGTCTCTGGTGAAGCCTCTCACTGCCCCTGCACCTCTGGCCTGTATGCATAAATAAATCTTTAAAAAATATATGTTGAAAGAAAGTAGCCAGTTACAAGAAATGCTATGTTACATGATACCATTTATATGAAATATCTATAATATGCACATCCATAAAGGTGTAAAGTAGGTTAGTGGGAGTGGGAGAGACTGCTTAAGGGGAATGGGGTTTCTTTTGGAGTGATGTAAATGTTTGGGAATTAAGTAGTGGTGATGGCAGCACAACACTATGACTAGAAAATGTATGTACATGAATGTATGACTTCTGTGTTGCACATTTTAAAAATGGTGAATTTTATGTTATATATAACCTTTACAGTAGTTTTAAAAACTCTGCTATAGATTACAATCAAGGTGGGAAAAAAATGTGCAAAATGATGTAAAAATAAACTTTGTAATAAAAAAAAAAAACTCTGCTATATAATGTGTCCAGCATATGTTCAAAATAAACAAAGATTTAAAAAGGGGAGGGGTACCTGGAGAACTGGTTTAGATGGAGAGACTACGAAGACATAAAAACTAAATATAAAATGTATGATTTCTGGTTATATCCTAGATTCCTCCTTTCCAAAAAGCACAAAACCTAGCTATAAACCCCAGGATACTCCCTGGGTAACTGGGCACATTTGCGTATAAGCAGGTTATTCAGTACTGTCCCTGTGTTAAATTTCTTGGAAGTGATTTTGGTAATGTTAGAGAATGTTCTTGGGAGTGACCTGTTGAAGTCTTTGGGGGCAGAGCTTCCTAATAGCTGCAATTTAACTTTCAAGTGGTTTAGAAAATGAAAGTTGTGTGCAAGTGTGTATTTGTGACTGTGCAAATTTATGGACAAAGAACAAGGGGACGCATTAGTGGTATAATGTGGACAATCACTCAAAGTACATCCAGTGTATCTGGGTGCTGCTAGCAGGTTTAAGATTGTTCAACAGCAAGTTGGCAGAAGTTAGTAAGTATACAAACACAGCATTCAAAATGGAATTTAGACTGTGATTTCAAGGATGTCACAAAGAAGCCCAGAAGAAGGAAACACACCGATGTTAACAGTGTTGTTGCGTTATAGTGATTGTTTTTCCTTCTCTGTACTTAGTAGTTTTAGGTTTTAAGCAATGACAATGTGTGCATTGATCATCTTAAAAAACGATCTTCCGGCCCTCCCTGGTGGCGCAGC